AAATAAATAAATAAAATCTTTAAAAAAAAAAAATTGATGAATTCTTGGGGCACCTGGGTAGCTCAGCAGGTTGAGCATCTGACTCTTGATTTCGGCTCAGCTCATGATCTTGGGTCCTGGGATCAAGACCTGTGCTGGGCTCCATGCTCGGCAGGGAGTCTCCTTGCGATTCTCTCTCCCTCTCCCTGCTTGTCATGCACGTGTGCTCACTCTTGCTCTCTAAAAATAAATAAATAAATCTTTTAAAAAAATTGATGAATTCTTTAAGACAGCTAACAGGAGCCTGGGTGGCTCAGTCAGTTAAGTGTTTGCCTTCAGCTCAGGTCATGATCTCCAGGTCCTGGGATTGAGCCCCAAGTCAGGCTTCCTGTTCAGTGGGCAGTCTGCTTCTCCCTCTCTCCATTGCTCATGCGCGCTCTCTCAAATAAATAAATAAAATCTTTAAAAAGAATTCCAACTAATAAATACAGAAGGAATAACAAAATTAGAAAATCGTCATTACACAACCTTAATGAAACAATAAATTCACACAGCAGTTATCAATGGACTGATAGGTAAAAAGATCGATGAGAAGCTTTACAATGGAGGCTTTGGGCTGTCACCACCTTGGTAGGTAGAATAATGCCCATCTCTCCAAAGATGTCCACATCCTAATCTTTAGAACAGTTACGTTACATGGCAAAAGGGGTTTTGCAAGTGTGATTAGAGACTGAGATAAGGAGATTATCACAAGGGTCCTTATAAAAGAAAGAGAGAAGCAGAGGAGAGAGGAAGGGGTGGGAAAGAGGGAGAGAAAGAAAGATTTAGAGATACTAATTACTGGCTTTGAGGATGCAGGAAGGGGTCACCAACTAAAGAATGCAGGTGGTCTAGACCCTGGAAAAGGCAAGGAAACAGATTTTCCCCTAGAGTCTTCAGAAACAACACTGCCTTGTTGACACCTTGATTTTAGATAAATGCGCCCTGTTTTAAGTTACTGAGTTTGTCATAATTTGTTCTAGCAGCAGTAGGCCACTAACACATATGTGAACCCACCAATCAATCTTAGCACTAAGAGGCATGAAAAGTACTGTGTGCTCTGCCATGATGCCACATGAAGTACTCTCACCCAGAAGATAAACCTGAATCTAATTACATCTTTACAGCTGATTCCTTTTACAAGAAATATGGGGGAACTGTTTAAACGATACCTCAAGGAAGTAAACAGACAAATCCACAGTGTAGGACACTGTTTACAGACAACTGACTCTAACAATACAACTGCAAGCATTAAAAAAAAAAAGGAGGCTGAGTGAATTGCTCTAAATTAAAGGGACCTGAGAGAAATACAACAAATTAATTTAAAAATACATTTCTGAGACAAGTGGAGAAACCTGAATATGACCTGAGTATACTATTAGCATTACTGTTAGTTTTGCAAGGTGTGATTATAGCCACATAACATTGTGATTATGTTCATATTTTTAAAGAGATTCATGCTGAAGTATGCAAGATTGAAATACCATGATATCTGGGATTTACTTTAAAACAATTCAGCATAAAATGTGAAGGGAGAGGCAGTTCCAGTGAAAAAGGTGTGGCCACATCCTGATAATTACTAAATCTGGATACTGCATTTACAGTAGTAGACTGACCGTACTCTTCTCTATAAAACTGCAAACAAACCAGGGTGTCTGGCTGGCTCAGTCAGTAGAGCATGAGACTCTTGATCTCAGGGTCCAGAGGTGAAGCCCCACGTTGGCAGTGGACCCCACTTTAAAAAAAAACGGAAAAAAAAAACCCTGCGAACAAACCAATGCCAAAGCCAAATTGAATTAGTCATATCTAAAGATTTTTTCTATTTATTTGACAGAGGGAGACACAGTGAGAGAGGGAACACAAGCAGGGAGAGTGGAAGAGGGAGAAGCAGGCTTCCCGCAGAGCAGGGAGCCCAATGCGGGGCTTGATTCCAGACCTGAGCCGAAGGCAGACGCTTAACGACTGAGCCACCCAGGCGCCCTGAATTAGTAATATTTAAAAATCAGGAGCTTTCACATCAAAATCTGGATTTCTGACTTCATATGAAAAATTAAATGTGGCAACAAGGTCTACATCAAGAGATTAGTACTGGCTACTCCAAATTAACAGTTTCTACTACTCCCGGTTATCCCCCATTTATTGTCACTGCTGCTGTTTTTATTTTTTTTAAAGATTTTATTTATCTATTTGAGAGAGAGAGTGAGAGAGAGAGAGAGCACAAGAGGGAGGAGCGGGAGAGGGAGAAGCAGACTCCCTGCTGAGCAGGTAGCCCGATGCAGGACTCGATCCCTGGACTCCAGGATCATGACCTGAGCCGAAGGCAGTCGCTTAACCAACTGAGCCACCCAGGCGCCCTGTCACTGCTGCTGTTTTTAAACATACCTGGGCCAATTCACTCATTTAGACTGCCTAGTGGGCATTTGGGTTTAGGACCCCAGGAGCAGTTCAATTAAGCTGGCTAGAAGCAAGAGAACAGAGCAGACATGGGGAGGGTGACTGAGTGATAGCAAAATGCTAGCGTGTAGATGTACAGACTCCTGCTTTTGAGGTCTCTCCAGCAACTGTGGAGACAGATTAATTCCCATGAGGCCATAAAGCTACACTATGCTTCCTGTGTAAGTGCTCACTAGAAGCAAGGCCATATGCATGATATTCTGGAAAATACGAACATGAAAATAATTCCTGCCCTCGGGATAGTAACAGTCTAATAAGGTATAAAGAAAAATAGCTACAATATAAGATGAAAATAAGTGAGTTTAGGGTATTGTTCAGGGTGGCTCATATAAAATGCAAAGTGGAGAGTAACAAAGTATATAAAACTTCAGAAACCGATCATAAAGAGTACTACAGAGCACGTTGGGAAATTTAAACTTTATCAGATTAGCAATAGTGAATCACTGAAGGATTTCAAATTAGAAATACAAATCAGAAGGGCAACACTGGAGATGAGAGTAGTCTCCCTCATTGCTCAAATTCTCTTATTCTATGCACTATATCCTTTGAGGAGCCAGCAGCATGACCCCCAAAACGTCTATTTAAACCTCTAAAATTATACAATCACAGCTTTCTTGGTCAGACAGAAGTCTGGTACCTGAAGAGAATATTAAAAAGTCTGTATCTCCCAAATAAAGCATAAATAAATTGCATTTATTACCACTACTGGGTTCCAATACCTTAAACATAAATTATAGTCTTATTACACCCTAAGCTCTATTAAAATATTTCTTCCTATTTAGTCTAAGACCCATTTTGTTAAAAAAAAACAAACGCTTATTGCGAATAAATAACGCACAATCAAATCTTGACTAAGATCATGTTACATTAACATTTCAAAGATCGGGCTGGTCAACCTAATGGCAAAATAGGACCAAACTGGCATTATAATAGTAGTTGTCACCATCCAAGAGTATCGCTGAAATTTATATAAAAATTGGCCAAATCCAGACTCTGGGGTACCATAAAAGAAAGTACTACAGACTGAGACCATTTTGCGATCGACTTTAATCAATCACAGGAATTACAAATAAAAAGCAAGGAGAGCATAAAATTGCAGTACTTTTCTTTCGCCTTACTTAACTCCCAAACTAAAAATTCCGGCTCTGACATCAATTTATTCTACACGTCTTTGAGCCTCAGTTTGCTCAGGTGTAATATGAGGCCAAGAGTACCTACTTCATAGGGCACAGTACGAACTAAACGGTATCACACAGAAAGTGGCACAGGACCTGACACACAGCTAATGCTCAATAAAAACAGGTTTCATTATTACAGTAAGCTTCAGTGCCTCCATGATTTTCCTGCAGGTAGCAGTCTGAAAATACCCACGAATACTCAACACCCAGAGACTTCTCTGGAGAAACAAGTCACAGTTCAAGATACCTAAGACTGCAACTGGTAGGAGAGCCCGACCACGACCCAAAGTCGAGGCGGCCCCAGCTCAGCTGTCACCACATCCGCCAAGGCTTTGCGGTCCTTCTAAGGGTTCCCTGGCATTGGCGCCCGGCCCCGCCCCGCGAACGCCAACGAGCGGGGTGAGGGGGCGGTCTCGACAGCGCACCCTTTGTGCTTCGGGGAGACTAGGCCGCCCCCGAGGCCTCCGCCCGCCGGCTCCCCTCCCCATCCTCAGCCTCCCCTAGTCGACGCCTACGGTCTTCCGTCCCCGCGCCGCCCACTGCCGCACCTTCAGGTG